CTGCTTTAGTGGAACTTGTATCCCATGAATTTGAAATGAGCACTTTTACTCTCTAAAGACCACAGTGTTTTTATTAAAAGCTAATTATGTCATGTAAAGCCACGCAGAATGGCATAAAATTGTGGAAATTAAAAAATCTTAAGTGCTTTCTGCTCATGTGAGATCTCATGACATTTTTTGATTGAAAATGCCTGGTTTTGAGTACATGGTCTGGAAGGAATAGGCACTGGATCAGGGTTTGGGTACTTTCATCCACTCATTGTGGCTCTGTCACTGTCCTGCTCTGGAGCTTTGGGCCAGTTACTTTGCCCAGTCCAGACATCCTTTTCTTTCATGTCATGCTTTCTGATTTCACAGTTAAACATTGATTAATTCAGATCATTTATTACAGGATGCTAAAAGCTTCTTTACAGCAAAACATTTTACCCTTTGACCTTACCTCAGTTTTCACACAGTCTTGTTTATCCAAAGGTCCCCTGTACGTGATAGTCGAGTACGCTTCCAAAGGCAACCTGCGCGAGTACCTGCGAGCACGCCGCCCCCCGGGGATGGAGTATTCGTTCGATATCAACCGGGTGCCAGAAGAGCAGATGACATTCAAGGACTTGGTGTCATGCACTTACCAGCTGGCAAGAGGCATGGAGTACCTGGCTTCACAAAAAGTAGGTAGAGCTCAGCAAATACTGCACGAAGCACATGGTGCATGTTTGTTCGGCCCTTTTTTAGTTTAGTTTTGTTCTTGTCTCGCTTGTGTGGAAGAATTTGCTGGGAAAAGGACTTTTCTCAAACAAGTTGTGTAATCCATCCTCTTGCAGATCAGTGGGAAAATTAATACATGTAAAGTTTTTAATCTCTGTTTAATGGGGTCTGGAACGGATCATTTAAAGTAAATATTGCATACATACCTGCACTTCGAATTCAAAAGCACAGGTGGTCACTTGATTGCACAAGTCACTGTACTCCACCTGTGTGTGAGACAGCAGGCACCATTTGCCTTCTGTTTCCAGTCAAATCGACCAAATCAGCTCACGTAGTGAAGTAAAATAAATGAATTCAGTTAGTGAAAGGATTTCCAGAATGATAACAGGCAGAGTTAAGAAGACCACAAGATGCCGGGACAAAAATTTTAAACAGAAAAGGCAAAAATAAGTGGAATGAATTAGTCACTGTAAATTATGTGCTTTACTTAAAACTGATGTTTGTCAGGAGACCAGGCCTGTTGAAAGAATTTATTTATCCTGTCGTGTCCCTCGACACTTATTTCTTCTATTTTTCTTTAAACATTTTTCTAACCAGTAGCTTGATTAAATTATAGTTATGAAACCTTAAATAGCCCTGTATAACTGACTTGTAAACATCCTGTGGCTTGGTGGACAAGCAATCATGAAAACCCTGTGTGGTGTTTGGACCCAGTGTCTAAACCAGAGCACCAGATACTGATGATAAGTGCTTCCTGCGAGCTGTGGAGTGGTTAGTGGGATTTAGACTGATTTCCCGTTGTGTCCACTCCCAAGTTTGGAGCTGTTTTTAACCAAAGACCAGAGCTGAGCGTAAACCTCCAGTCCTCATGTGTGGAGTCATGTTTTTTTTAATTGCTTTTCTGCATTTGTAGGGGTTAGGGGAAATTGAGGTCTAATTTTGCTTGTATTCTTTTGTTTCAGAGCAGTAATTCTTAGCGTAGTAGGGTAGACAGGGTGACGTGCATGACACCAAGACCAAATCTTCTAATGGAGTGAGCATGAGTATTGTATTAGGTAAAGCACTGCAGGGTGTCCCTTTCTAAGATAAATGAAAAGTTTGCCTGACAAGGAGCCATGTCCCAAAAAAATAAAGCTGTTGTGAAAGGAAAAAAAATAAGTCTTTTGATTGGCAAATCTCAAGAACGAGTGTCTGCCTGAGAAGCTCTGAAGTGCTGTTGTGGACACTGCCAAGGAGGTGGGTGCTCACACCAGGTGTACATGGCAGAACCATTTCGTCCTTGATCCAGTTCCTTTGCAGAAACACTTGAACTTGACAGAAAGGGAGGCATTGCACAAGGCAGAGGGAAAACAAAGGCAGCACAAAGTAAAACTGTGCATTCTGGTTCCTCAGATATCCCACCATTTCTGTTTGTATTTCACTGGTGCTTTTCCCCTTAGGGATCCATTTATTGAGCTAGAATAACAACAGAGCTGGTCTTCTTACGGTATTTCCATCATGCAGGAGCTGTGAGAAGCCCAGTGCTCTTGTTATTTCAAGCCAATAAATGGCTCACTGAGATGTCAAAAAATTAAGAAAAAATTATTTTGGCACCTACTTTTTGCCTTATAAAAAGTTTTTGTCTTACAAGCAATTGTACTTTGGAAACGGGATATTTTTTCCTAAGTTGTATGGATGCTTTTTAAAATTCTGTTGATGTATCCTCTCCGACCTTCCAGTACTGTCCAAGAACCGCAGGGGAGCTCCAAATACAGGGGCTGGCCCAGGTCACTGCAAAGAGATAGCAAATCATTAGAGCCAGAGGATCAGCTATGAAACCTGCCAGTTATGGAAATCAATGGTGGCACCATTTTGAAGATAGAAAGAGTCTCAGCTGCAAAAATGAGAAAGCCAAAATACACTGACAGCAGATCCAGGGTTTGAATCACTTGGTGTATTTGCACAGAGGTGCTTCATGCCATTTGACATGCTCTACAGTACCCCCAGCTTGCTGCTCTGGAAAGCCATAGGTCTGCTATAGACTCTGTCATCCCTGGTGGTCTCATCAAGATAGTTTGGATGTCCTGGGGCATCTCAGAGGATATTATGCACTTGTATTTGGGTGCCTGGATTGAGTTCTGCTATAGACTCTGTCATCCCTGGTGGTCTCATCAAGATAGTTTGGATGTCCTGGGGCATCTCAGAGGACACTTGTATTTGGGGTGCCTCGATTGAGTTCCTAATGTCTCAGAGGGTGTTCTTGTAGGGTTTGGGAACAATGACATAGGAAGGCTTGGCCTATGGTGTTTCTGCTACCGTAGCGTTGCTGATGCTGAATTAGAAGACAGATTTGGTGTTGGAATCATGTGCTGTTGTCTGGTCCTGTGCATGGGAAGGCATTGCTGGAGCAGGTTTTTCCTGGCAGTTCCCCATGGCTAATCCAGAGATCTCAGAAAATTGCTGGGGCAAGTTATAATGCAGGGAAGAAATTGGCTGTTGTACAAGGTTTTTCTTGTAGTGGTTCAGTCCAGCATGTCTGTGCACATGCTGAAATAACGAGGACAGCGTAAAGAGTAATCCAAAATTGAGGGAGGAAAAAAAAAAAGGGACATTTAGCTTGAAAAGAAGTAGAATATCTGGGGGAAATCCAAATGCAGTGTTTCTTACCATGTCCCTGCTGCTATCAACCCCAAAAAGGCTACTTAAACACAGCAATGCTATCCCGAGCAGTCACAACGTCCTTTCCGTGTCAAGAATCGGTTGCAAGTTTTCAGGATAATGCTGACATGAAGGGAAAATCTCACAGGAGATAACATTTTATTTTCAGTATCAAAGGTGTCTAAAAAAGCCAACAGCCCAGCCCAGATTGTGTTGGTTTGGGTTTTGGTTGTGGGTTGTTGTTTTTTTTCAGTTGGTTTGGGTTTTTTTAATGAAATTCTTACAGTCTCATGATTGGAGTAAATACACACACCCTAGACATCTGCTCTGAAATGATACACTGTGGATATATCTCATATTGAGATCTCTAATATTAAAAATGGTTGCAGTGATCCAGACTGTCAGGTTTTAGCTCTGGTGAGATGAAATCATCATTTAAGAGAAGCAACTTAATAAAACGCTCATCGACAGCATTGGTAATGACAGTGCTGCAATAGCTGTACCTGGGCACGTGTAATGGGGAGTGAACCACAGCGTGGCATCATTTCGGCCACCGCCCAAGCTTTCAGCCGTAGCAAAATGTCAGTTTTAAATAAACCAGGCTTTTCTAAGCTTCTTTGGGCTGTTATTCAGCTTGGAAACGCCAGCCGAGGGGATGGATCGCAGTCATTAAAGACAAATCGTATTTCACAGGCTTGTAGTAATTGTGTGGCTTTCCCACCTTGTGATTTAGGTTAAAATCTCACAAGGAGCCTTAGTTACGGTGTAGAAGTAATGTCACTTTTACAGCAGTTTATTTCTCTGAACCTTTTTTTCTTTCCTTTTCTTCCCAGTGTATCCATCGAGATTTGGCTGCAAGAAATGTTTTGGTAACTGAAAATAACGTCATGAAAATAGCAGACTTTGGCTTAGCCAGAGACATCAACAATATAGATTATTATAAAAAGACTACTAATGTAAGTGGATGGTTTTCTTATCTCTGGAAACAAGTGTTTCTTTCAGTGATTCACTTCAAAACTATGGTTATGAACTTAATGGGCTTCTTGTGCAGCAGCCTCACTTTTCATCCCAGACAGAGAACAGGGATCGGGGATGTAAGCATTTCCATCCCTTCTTACAGTGACAGCCAAAAAGATAACTAAAGAGGCTGAATATTGTATGATTTATTAGAAATGCTACAATCCAAGCATTTTTGTGTGTCCCTGATGCCAATTACCTTAAAAAAGTGGAAATACATCTCCTTCTCTGGGCATCTGTTAAGATTCTGATGAACTGTGATTGGGTTTTCCTGGGAACTTTGCAGAACTCATTCAGTTCTACAGAATATTTGGTATAAATATTAATTATTATTATCATCAATCACATCAAATGGCTTATCTATGAAAATGAAGCGCTAAGTGATTAATGGCATTTTAATGGTAATAACTGCCTGCTTGCAAAAGACAGAGCAACCAGGTGTGGTTATGTGAGCATGGAAGGAATTGGACCTTCTTCATATCAAATTTAGTGCGATTCCTGGGCTCTGAGCACAGCAGGCTTTGTGTGCAAAGGCCTAGTTTTAATTTCAGAGGATTATTTGTTGTTTATTTTATCATTGAAGAGCCATAGTAGAATGATCTTTTTTATTTGATGTGCTTATCCTATCGTTCTCCTGCATGTGGTCTAGGAACTTTTTGGGAGCCCTCAATGCTTTTAATTCTGTCTTCAGTGTTTATATCCATTTTGCTTAACGGTCTCCCTACTTTAGCCCATTTAACTATATTTTCCCTAGAAATTTTAAAGACAAACTGTGTGCTGGTTTGCATTAGCAGACTGATCTCTGAGAATTGATTAATCTTATTTAAAAATTGGTGTTGAAGCCATCCTGTTAATTGCTGCTGTGTTAATTTTCCTTCCCTTCCCCTCCAAACTCACAGGGACGGCTTCCAGTGAAGTGGATGGCCCCAGAAGCTCTGTTTGACAGAGTTTACACGCACCAAAGTGATGTGTAAGTGCCTTTATTTGAGTGGAGTCTTGAGGGGTGGGTAGGAGGGTGTGTTTTGATTTACAGTTGTCAAAGTTTGAGGTATTTTAAGTGTATTTTCCTGTTGTCCTTTACCTTTAAGCGTTTTCATTCTGCTTCACATATTAATAGATGGAACAGGACTTGCCCTTAGAAAGTGAGGATTTTATGGTAGACTGCTAACCAGTGCTCTGTTACTAATCTGCCTGGCTTCAAAGCACATGAAAGGTGGAAAATGCTAACCTCCTTCTGTCAGGGCGGAAGTTTCCCCCCTTGAACTTATTTACGGATGTGCAGCTACAAAGAGTCTATCTAATTTGCTTGGCTTTTGACGTGCTCTGGACTTCCTTCACATTTTTTAAACAGAGAAAAGAAAGAAGAAAAATATCTTGAAAACTTCTTATAAAAATTTGTGCTAAGATATAGGTATAATAAAACATGAGCTGGAAAAGTTTTCTCTGATTTTTAGAAGTGGTGTTGCTTCCCAGCAGTGCTTCACATGCAGTAGGAAATCATTGGACTCTGACACTTCAAAACCTTTTAATGTGTGCACAAAGTGGCTGGCTGATGCAACAGCTCAGGATTTATCCTGCTTCCTATTACAGTTTCCTAGGCCCATCTACTGTACTCGTGTAGTAGATGTGTATTTTTACTTTATGCAATGCAGATGAAGATCTTATGGATTTTATTTCTCCAAGGGAAGCTGTTAACAGTAAAGGGCTGGATGCTTCCCAGCACAGGTGTAAAAGGTTACTTATGCATGTCGGTGCAGAGTTAAAAAGAAAAAGGACAGGGTGGAAAAAATAAAGAGATATCTCCTCTTTCTTTAGCCTGGGTACACTTCCTGAGCTGCTTTCTCCTTAAGAAAAGCATTTACTGAGGCTTTTCCTGCCATCTTTATATTATTTACAAAGGAAACTACATGCGCAGGTTAAGGGTGGATCAAACTTCTGTTTGAAAATAGCATCTTGGCAAAATATTTTAAATGACTGTGAAGTAAATTGCTTCACTGATTCGGGACTGGAAGTTGATCTGAGCTCCTCGGCAGCCGTGGGTTTCAGTGCTGGAGCTTGGAGGCTCTTGGCCCCGTGGCAGCTTTGAAGACAGCTAAAGATAATATTATTGTAAGTTTGTGCAAGCAGTTTACTAAAAGACACTGCTGCAAAGCTTAGGAGAGCCACAGGAGCCAGTGCAAGCTGTGTGCTGCTGCTCACCTGGCACAGCCGCCTGCCAAACAGCCCCGGGTTGCCAGCGAGGCGAGATGGGGCAGGCTCCAGAGGTGGCGGTGATCAGGCAGGAAAACTGGCTTAAAGTGCTCCTCCTTCATTTCCTAACAAAAATTAATAACAAAAAAATAATGGATTAGCAGAATGATGCAAAATATTTTTGTTTTGAGCAGTCTGCTTTTTTTTTTTCCAAAATATCCTGCCGTGTAATTGCAGTGCAGCTCAGCTGTGACTGCTCTGTAAATAATTAAGCTGTGCAGACGCGGGGCTTTGCAGGAGCCCTGGAAACTCGGGTGCTCGCAGCACACCAGAAAAAGGCGAAGAGCGTGTTTGAGAACATTCTTGGGTCGGTCCCTGTCCTGCCCATGCACCTGAGGCACCCCATAGATTGATGACCTGCTTGGAGTTGGGCAGATGCCGCTTGAAGCACCTCCTAAGAGAAACTGGCAATCCTTGTGTCTGCCACAGATATTTCTCTGTTTTCAGCAGATCTACTAATGCAGTTTTCTCTTTGGTTTGCAGTTGGTCATTTGGTGTGCTCATGTGGGAGATCTTCACGTTAGGAGGATCACCCTACCCAGGAATCCCAGTGGAGGAACTTTTTAAGCTGCTTAAAGAAGGGCACCGAATGGATAAACCCGCCAACTGCACCAATGAACTGTAAGGACCCTTGTTTGCTGTACGAGGATGGAAGGGCCCAAACTGTGCTCAGTTCCCATGGTTAATGCTACCCCCAGCAGAATCATTTTCAGAGTTGCTTGACTCTGAAGTTGTGGATGTTTGTGTGTGTATAGATGTGTGAAGAAAAGGTATGGAAAGGTCTTCAGGAGGTGTTTGACAGAGGATACTTCTTTACACACCCTGCTGTGATCCCACTGAAAACAGAAGAGATCATCTACAAACCAGTCTTCATCAGTGTTTTCACATGTGTATTTGTTTTATTTTAATCTCATTAACATGGAAAATTCCTGAATGGCACACATACCACTAATCGTATGTAAGGTACATCAGACTGGTTTTGTATGTAACAAAATACGTCTGGGAACTCCTGCGTTAACACAGCGTTATCTCCTGGTGATGAGGGGAGATTCTCTTCCCTTTCTGGTGTTTCAGTTAACTATTTTTAATTTTTTTTCCACATTTTAATTTCTTCACTTCACAAAGACCACAATCCCTAGCATGCAAAATATTTAAGCATGTGTTAATTTAGTACCATTGAGATTCCTGGGACTGAAGGCTACAGGATTGGGTCCACAAAAAGGCAATTTAAGCACTGGGCAAGAGATGCAGGAGTAGAAATGCACCTTTGAGGGAGGTGAGAATATTGTACAATTTTGGGGAAGACAGTGGTCCATCTGTAAGGCTGTGGGTGCTCTCTGCTTTACTTGTGATGAGGAACGTTGTCTCTGAAAAGGTTTGAGAGAAGGACGCGTGATTTTAATTAAGCCAAGAAAATGTGTATTTCTTACAGCTATATGATGATGAGAGATTGCTGGCATGCTGTGCCTTCACAGAGACCGACTTTTAAGCAGTTGGTAGAAGACTTGGATCGGATTCTCACTCTCACAACTAATGAGGTAGGTAAATTGTTTCCCTCCGTAAGCTGCTGGTCAGGACGAATGGTTCAGGAGACAGACGGAATTTATTCAATTATGAAATCCTGCTCAAGTTCTCCTCTTGCTCTGTTTGTCGTTGTCCTCTGAGGTTACACGCAGCCAAACTATGCATCCTATGAAATCTTTGATTTCTTGCCATTATGCCTTGATTTCTGTAACTAAACAGAAACACATCTTTAAAGTGTTTTTGTTTATTTCTCTTTGCATCTTTTGATGTTTTTTTAGCACGGCAGTATCGAGGGACTTACACGTGGCAGGTTGGGAGGCAATGTTTATGTTTCAACGTGAATTTCATGTAAAGGGGAGATGTAAGAGTTCACGGTGTTGGTTTTTTTTTTCATTTATCAGCTCTGATTTCCTGACATGATATGTAGGTCAGAAGAGGAGAAATTGTCACTGCTAGATTGCAGATTATATGTCTGAGAGTGAATTAGGTTCAGTGAAATAGCTCTCTGCGGAGGAAGCGAGGACCCACGGGGAGCGTGCGAACAGCCATCCAATTATCCAAAGGTCCTGCCTAACACTGCTTCAGGTTGGGATATATGGATGCAAAAAGGTTTCATTTGAAGAGCATTCTTTCAGAGGTCTGAGATATTATTAGTTTTAGCAAGGAGCACACTGATTAGGGTATTCACACAGGAATCAGTTCTCTTATCACTAAATCGCATGCACCTTTGAGGAGGATCACAAGTGATGGAAATGTTGATTCTTTCAGTGGAAACTTCTTTTGAGAGGAGATGCTCAGTGTCCCAGAAATATTGTACAAATTCCTGTCATTTCTGAGAAATTATATGTATAATGGGAGGAGAAAACGAGAACAAAACCCTTACAGAGGGAAGTGGTGACAACTTGTTTTGACCATTTCAAAATAAAATTTTCACATTTGCTGTTGCTTCTTTATGAAGGAGAAAAGGTAGGGAACAAAAATTTGGATCACTTTATATGGGTCCTCAACATTACTTTCTAATTTTTCAGTATTATCAGACAAATAAGAAACCAATTATTAAGCAGCTTTAGAAAAGCCAGTACACAATAGAGATGACAGGAGAGCCTGAGGAAAGAGATGCTGTTTTTCATGATAGTTTTCATTCAGTCTGGTTGAAAAAGATTCTTTGGCTTCAGTAGCAGCTATAAATTTATGAGAATTCTGTTTTTTAAGGCTTATGCTTCAGGAATGGCTCAGACATGGGGCAGGGGCTGGTACCACAGCTCTGCGTCCTGTTGCCATTTTCTGCTCGTCCAGTGCTGACCGTGTCTTTTCCTGCCTGATTTCTACACGATTTCACAAGCCTGGTTGGAGGTGGGCGTGCTGCCACCGCGCTGTGCTGGGTGACTTGGACTGGATACACGTCTGCAAATTCAAGAGGGAGGTTCTGGGCTGCAATTCGGAGCCTGGGAACGGATATTGCTTTCTTTTTTGTGTGTGTTTAGCCATCTTGCCTTCCCAATTCTGTACTGCTCGTGGACCTGGAATGATCTCAAAGGTAACCTGAAAAGGCCTTTAGGGTTATATAAATTATTGTAGACTAGAATCATAGGAAAAAAAGGCTGGAAAAAGCTCAGGAACACATTCAGTCCGTCTGATCGGCCTACGGCAGGATCCACTATACGTTTGTCATTGCTGACAGATGTTTATGTAACTTGTCCTTAAAGATCTCCACTGCTGCATTTCTTCGTCGCCCCTTGACAGTCTTGCTTTGCTTCGTTAGCCTTACTGCTTGAAAGCTTTCCCTAATCTCTAATCATAAGATACTGCTTTTGTCCTATTTGCCCTGGACATAAAGAGCAAATGATTTCACTTGTCTTTGCAGCACATTTTATGTTCTTGAAAGCTCATCATGTTCTCACTCTACTGAGACCGCCAGCATGTCCCATTTTCCTCGATAGCTTGTGCTTTTGAGACATCTAATTTTGTGTAATCTGCACAGTTCTCCTGAAGTGCAGATCCTTTGTGCGTCAGACTGACAACACTTCTGCTTATCCCCTCCACAGTGGCATTTTCCCTTTTCCCCCCAAAATGACACTGGGTTAGCCTGGTTTGCCCAACAACTTAAAAAATTGCTAGGACAGCCAATAATACCTTCTTCTGCATTTGTGAAAGTAATTATTTCTGCTTAAATGGTAATGTTTTGCTCCTCTCCATGCTGAATCATGACCTGTTGGTTTTTTGTTGGTATTTTTTGGAGTGGAGGGCTTTTGTTTAGTTTTGATTTGGTGTTTTTCCTCCCAAAAGACCCGATTCCCTATGAAGTCACCAAGAGTCAGCCTCATGGCTGTGTCGTTACATTGACACCAGGAGCCATCCTGATACTGGAAACTTCTTATGCCCCTCCATGTGCCTTTGGTCCTCGACATTGGCTGAAGAGGTTGGAGAGGGCATCAGGGTCCCACCTTCCATGCTGAATTCATTAGTTGTATCAAGCCTTTTGATGTGATGAGCCATGCCTGATATCCCACGAGAAAGCTCTGTTCTTCAAATACTGGAATACTTTCTTCTTCTGTCTATCTGGATTGTTTCTGGTCACGTAGGACTGGTTTGCCAATATATAAATATGTGTTAAGATTGTCCTTGTGGATCTTCTAAAAGCCTATGCAGTAATCATAGATCCAAACTGCCTTCTCTTGCTGCCTACTGTATTTGTCAGCATTAGCAAACTTACATTTCCCTTCTTCTTTTAACATGGTGACCATTTTTTAACTGTAATATGGTAATTATTGAATTTCTGACTTAATTTAGTTCTTGGTTAACATATTTTAGCCCAAACCTAAGCACAGCGGCATAAAACACTGACTGAGGTGGAAGACTTGTCTCATCAATGCGATCGTAACTTGTGGTTTAGCAAATGAAGAGATTGCATTTAAATGAATGCAGCTGCCTTTAGAAGTTGAAAGAGAAGGAACATTTCAAGGGGAAAAATAACTTTATTCTCCTGCCAAAACTGTTGTTTCTAGCAAAAGAGCCTTAACCCAAAACTTGGATTCAGCAGATATTATTTCCTTTTATAATGACTGCTTTGGTCGTGGCTACTCTGGGACACACACACACACACACACACACACACACACACATATATATATATGAATGTGTAGTATAAAAAACCCAAATCTATTGAATTTATTTTTGTTTTCCTTTCAGTTCTTTTTTGCACATATGCCACTGCATGTTTAAACACAAATTTAATATCACAGAATATAAACCAGATATTCAAACTGACCAAAGGAATATAAAGTTGGAAGTATCTTTCCCTTTCCAAATCATTACCATGTGCTAAAGCAAAATGGTTCTATTTAGGATGAAATTTCATTTTTATCATTGCGAGTGAAAAGTCCTCTTTTGATGTGGTTTCCATGTTTATTTCCACTGACGCGGCTAATGCTGGTGATGTTGGACTTCAGAAAAGGACCATGGTATGGGTTGGGTT